AAAAGTTCCGTGGAGCAGGCCACTCACCATTTTCTGGATCACAACACAAACCATACTGGACTGGGCAGAGTTGAAAATTATTGCAAATGAAACCTGCAGCTTACATTATCACATCATGCACTCAACTTAGTAGCTAGGCAACGGAACTGCACACTTTCTGTGCATTTGGGGGGAATACAACAGTTAACTGTAGATAGAAGCAAATACCTTGCCGAGATTAAAATTGTCAGATTGCCTAGCTGCCATATTGGACAGGGGTTTAAAAAAGAAAAAAAGTAGGTAGGCATATAGCAAGGAAGCATAGACTTTCATGATGTGATCTATTGTCATTTTATTATACCAATTATTGCTTAAGCTGTGCTCATTTATGTTTCACAATATTATCCAAGTACCTACTTGGTTGCCTAGAAAGCTCATAGTCTCAAAAGCTGATTGACATGTCATTATTATCCAAGTGTCAATTTATTACAATCTTCAAGATATAAATGTTTTGTTGGTTGGTCCTGTGTGTCAATTTCTTTACATCATCCATTTTGTTCTTTAGATTTTGCTATGCTGTCAGTGCTAAACATGGACACTTACATCCTCCAATGATAATGTAAAATTGTGAAAACAGAGATGAAATGCCTTAGAAGAGCTGCAGGAGTTTCAAAGAAAGACAGAATATGAAATCACGAAATCAGACGAATGCTAGAAATAAAGCCAGACTTACAGGTCATCAAAGAACAACAAATGAAGTGGTTTGGACACCTAACTAGAATGCCCTGGTACTATTTGCCACAGCGAGCTACACTAAAACGTTACAACAGGTATAGAGCGAGTGGAAGACCTCAGAAAATATGGACTGGTGGCATTAAGAACAGCCTTACAGAAATGAACATCAGTCTTAATAGTGCTCATGACAGAGCTTGTCCACGAATGTTAAATCTGCCCCCGAAACTTCGATGAGGTACAGGGTGGAAGAGAAGAAGAAGATGAAGACTTTGCATTTTTTGTTGTTGTTGTTGCTTAAAGTTCATTGTCAGATAGGGATGTTTTGAAAGCCTATTGCCATGTGACATTGTCTTCAAAGCTCATTATCTTGAAAGCTCATTGTCAAGTAATTATTATCCAAGTATCAGCTTTGTTACAATCTTCAGAATGGAAACTAAGTGAAAAACAGTGTTTCATATTATGGTACATTTTGCTGCTGAATTTTACATGTTAAAAGTACTGTCTTATTTGGTGTCCAGCTCTTTTTTTTTTATGTTAGCTTTTTTTAATAGACATTTGTGCAAGAAACTGGTCTGTATGTGTGTATTTGAAATACTGACATTTGTTGCCACAGTGAAAAAGTATGAATGCATGAAGCCTGGACAGTATGCATATAGACATCTTATGGCAGCAGATATCTATGCAGGGTTATTCAGAATTATGGATTCACTTTCATTCTTCTGTATTTCCTTAAATATACATTACATATTAATTAAATACATATAAAAGAGGAAAGTCTAAGGTTTACAAACCTAAATAGATGTTATAGATGTTCAGTAGGGTTAACGTCTGGTGCTTGGCAAACATCTTAGGGCTAGTGGCAGTGTGTCTGTTCTTTATCCTTCCACAAGATGTAGTTTATTTAATCAGTTGTTTTCGTAAATAATTTTTTGTTCAAATGTTACTTCAAGAAGTGACTTCATGGGTCCGAGCTGCTGTGACATTTACTCATATACCTCATATGGTTTTTGTTGACATTCATACATTGAATAAAGATGCTGTCATGCCATTGTTCTGTCCCTGATGATTGTCTTATTGATTACATTATAGTCTCCTTGACATGCAACTTTGTTGACTTGTTTAATTTACATTGTGAACTACTGCCCTATCTCTTGTATATTCCTTATTTTTTATTTTATTTTCTACACTCTGCTACTACAGAAGCTAGACTTTTTTTTTCCTCCAGAAATGACCTTGGCTCTCAGGTCAACCCAGTCTTGAGTGGGTACCGGGTGCAGTCCCAGGAAGACAAGGCCGCCGGTGTGATGCTGACCACATCACCCATCTTGTGCCGATTGCAAATATAGGTCTAGCCCTATATGTCTAAAGGTGTGGGAAAGGGTCCTTTACTTACACTTTACTACTACTACAGGTGAGTCTCTTAGGAGCCTGTTTGCACTGCAAAATCATTAATTCAAGAAATGATTCATGATAGTTCCCAGCAGGTCGTGTGATTGTCTATGCAGATAGCTCTGAATTGAGAGGAAGAAGAAAGGCATGGAGTTCATTGTAAAAGGAGATTGATAATGTGTAGTGCAACAGAACCAAGCATATGATACGATATCTAGTTTGAGAATGGAGGTGGAGGCAGTAACAGCAGCTTTCTTCTGGCTTGAGAACCAAACACTCATGTGGTCCTGGGTCCTTTGGGAGCAAGTGAACAATGTGAAAGCATGAATAGATCATTATGGTCTGGAGAGAATGGTACAGCTATGAGTGACACTCTACATCATCATCAGTTTCCTCTTCTGCCTTTAAGTGTTGTGGGGAGGAACAGTTTGCGATTCATTGCTTGATGGGCAGCAATGGCTACTGTCATTCTGTGTTGATGTAGAAGCTTTTTACTGTAATCATTCCATTTTCTTCTAGGACAGCCTCTTGTTTTCACTTCAAAGCCTTTCATGAGTAGCGCCTGCATTGGTAGTTGTTCTAGCTACATTCTTAGTAAATGGCCAGACTATTTGATCTTATGTTTCTCAATGAATTTGCTGCATGGTGTTGTTCCTACTGTCTGTCTGATAATATCATTTCTAACTTTGTCTCGGATGGTTTAGTTGGCGGCTTTTCTCAGGCATCACATTTCACAGGTGGTAATTCACATAGGTTAGTCTTTGATAATGTCTAAGTCTAACACTGGTAGTACAGTGTTGGTATGAATATGCTGTTTGTAATCCGTTTCTTGGCGCTCATAGTTATGTTTAGATGTCCTAATAACAGTGTTAGTTGGTATAAAACTGACACTCTACACTCAAAGCAAAGGCAAGTCAGACATATAATGAAACTGCTGTTGGCACCACTGGAATCAAAATCGTCACTGGCTGCTGAAGATGAGGATAGGACACTGATGGAAATGTCCTGAGTGCTGGCAATCAGTTCTAAATGCATCTCGGGAGTTAGTTTTCCCTTCCAAAATTGCAGTCTTTAGCATTAACATTTCAAGGATGAGCACTGAACGGGTACAGATCCCTTTTCCACGCCTTTAGGTATTTTCGGAATATAGGGTTAGACCTTCATTTTTATTGACAATTCGGCACTTAGTGAATGATGTGGTCAGCATCATGCCGGCCGCCTTTACTTCCAAGGACTGCACCTGGTACCCACTCAAGGCTAGGTCGACCTGATATTCAGAAGGTCCTTCACAGAATGTCACTCTCGGTACGCCCACAAGTCTCTCTTTCTCTTGCCAGTTCACCAGCCATATCTGTATGTTGTTTTGTAGCCAATGTATCTTCAGTGTCCTGTATCCACATTCACGGAGGTCGACCTCTATCTCGTTTGCATCTAACACAGCCAAACACAATTACGGAGTGGACGAGGCACGAAACAAAGTCAGGTCAACATGCTCATTCAGGCGAGACATGATCAGCTGTAATACATTTGAGGAAGCTGCAGGAGTCCTAGCCATCTAGTTTAGCCTCTGCCGCGCATAGCGGCGCGGGGGATACACTTGGATGTGTCACTATAGTCGCCGGAAAAAGAATCAACAATTTACAGGAGCTACTTCATCTGTCGGAAGTACCAGCGCCATCCTGGCGGCTGCTGGTTTGGTGTTGTCCTGAGACCACATGCATGAACAGTAAACCGCGCATTACAGCTGATCATGTCTCGCCCTGAACGAGCATGTTGAACTGACTTTGTTTCGTGCCTTGTCCACTCCGTAATTGCACCACAGCCAGGGGACTGAACTCCGACGAAGCGGCCGTCGCCGTCCAAACCAGCGACCGTTTTTGCAAGGAGAACCTTTTTTTTTTTACACACTCACGCACCCACCCACACGCACGCGCGCACACACATATAAACGCACACACACATACATATATATACACGCACGCACACACATATACACTCTCGCGCACACACCATTCACACGCTTGTACACGCACATACACACATCATCGGTGTAAATGTAGTCGAAATATTTATTTCGTAACTCGAGTAACATAAACAACGGTAAATTTTTTGCAGACACCAGTAAACTTTCATGTTTTTCAAACAAGGAGATCACGACGTCTGCATGATTGGTTCAAAAAGCGATTGTTTGTTTTTGTTCTTTTTCGCTACAATAACAATCAATCTGCCGGTCACCATAAAATCGGAATCATAAAAACATATTATGTGGGAGCAATTGTAAACATTTGTGAGACGAAACTTGTTCATAAAATGTCAGCAAAGAAGAGAAACTGTGCTTACTTTCATCCTGCCTGAACTGCACAAAACTACTCAGTAACTGTAGTACTCTGCAGTACTCTGGCTACTGCAAACTAACAAACAGCTCGGATTCCAAACAAAAAACGTTCACAAAATCAAAAACACTTTACTGCAGTTAACTACTTTTGTCTTTCGAAGCTGATATTATGTAATAGGGTTGAATAAGTAACCCGTTACAATCAGGTTCAATGATTTATTGGTTAAGTTTTGTAACTATAGGTATAGTATAGGGTTATGTTATAGTACGATGTGTCTGTGTTTATTAAGGTACTTTATTATTATTTCAAATTCAGTTTGAAGATTTCGTCGTCGAGTCACTCTATTGATAGGAAGGGATCGAAACATTCAGAGAATTAAGACTGCTTCTAGTAATCAGAAGATTTCTGTTGTTCTTTCGGCTCCATGGAAAATCTAGTACTTACATGTTACTGCACTAACAATAACGCACCACAGACTTCTCATTGGCAGTTTGTTTTCAAGGAAGTCTTCAGAAAACAGAGATTATGAGCACTACATCATTGACTTGTTTAATAAACAAGATGTACGCACTGTTTCGACGAAAATATCGCACTCTTCTGTTACTATTTGTTGTTGCAGTGTTATTTTATCTTCTCCAATGTTTCACAGTTTCAAGATTGGGAGATGTAGCTCACAGTAACATACACTTAAATGTGCCCTCAAAAGAGGATCTGGATAACATTGAGGATGTAGCAGGTTTGTTAGGTGAACGTGAGAACAAGCACAAGTTAAAATATCCACAACAGAAGGAAATTGATAACCATTTGGACCAAAATGTGCATAAACAAGAGAAACATAAAATAGGTAATAATAAATTAGTAAATAGCATCAGTGTTAAAAATGGTGGGCCTAGAAACAACCAGGTTGAAAATAGAAAAGATAAAATTAAAAGTGACCAGGATAGAAACAGCAGATTTGCAAAGGAAAATAATGAAACACCATGTCCAGATTCTGAAGCACTCAGGCATTTTGGTTTCATTAATATGACGAAAGACAGCCGCTTAATTGCTGCCAGTGTTAGTTTGTTGGGAGTTCTTGAGTCAGAGAAACACCTGTACAGCGCTGATGACAGGAATATGTTGTCATGCCTGACTGCAACTCAGGTGAGAGTTTTTGTAATACCCCATACATGCTGGGTAATGTCCCAAAAATATCTACACACATAGTTTATGTTATACACTAGACATTTATTAATGTCTGAGAGAATATCTGGATACACATTTTATATAATACACCAGCAAGTTCTGTAATATCCCAGAGAATATCTACATACAAAGTTTATGTAATACACCAGACACCAGACATATTTTATAATGTCTGAGAGTATATCTACATACACATTTTATGTAATACACCAGACAAGTTTTATAATGTCCCGGAGAATATCTACATATAAATTTTAAGGGCTATCTTCCGAATAATGGTCCCAAATTATTGAGACCGAAAATATGCCCTAACAGGGCCTCAGTCACATGTCAGTTGCAGACTTCCGCTAACACCGACGCTGCTACACGCGGCATGGATTGGGGCTAAAGTAGATGGCTAGGACTCACGAGCAAATAAAATGAAGCAAGCTGCAGGAGATGCGGTAGCTGCTGCTCGTGAGTCCCAGCCGTCTAGTTTAGCCCTAATCCATGCTGCGCGTACCAGTGTGGGAGATACTCTTGGCAGTAGGGGGTAGTCGCCGGAAGTCTGCAATTGACATGTGACTGAGGCCCTGTTAGGGAATATTTTGGGCGTTGATAATTTAGGACCATTATTCCGAAGATAGCCATTTTATGTAACACACCAGACATATTTTGTAATATCCCAGAGAATATCTACATACAAAGTTTATGTAATACACCAGACATATTTTATAATGTCTGAGAGTATATCTACATACACATTTTATGTAATACACCAGACAAGTTTTATAATGTCCCGGAGAATATCTACTTACAGAGTTTATGTAATACAACAGACCAGTTTCAATAAATCCTAGAGAATATCTACTTGCAAAGTTTATGTAATACTCCAAGCATGTTACATAAAGTCTGAGAGAATATCTAGATACACAGTTTGTGTAATACACCAGACATTATGTAATGTCTAAGAGAATACCTACATTTACAATTTGTATAATATGCCACACATATTGTGTAATTTCCCAGAGAATGCTGAGTTGAGTTGAGTCGACTGAGAATGCTGTTGAATGACAAAACAGAATATTGCTTGTCATTACCAAGGAGAGATATACTGATAAACTTTTGATTGAGAAGCAATCATTGCAGATTCATTCACCATCTCTTGAATGCAGTAAACATTTAAAACACAAAAACATGTCTTCAGAGAAAAAAAAACAGTACAGTATATAATGTGATGAGAGAAGATTCTTGACAGTCTTGTTGCATGGCATGGAGGTGTGTCAGCCCAGGAACTGATACATGCTGCAGGAGATCACAGATTGTGGAGAGGCATGATCGTCCACGCCAGTCGGCAAGGCACCTGATGATGATATAATGTTGTAGATAAGCTGTTCCTTAAGAATGTTAGCTTTATTAGAAAAAAAAGGGGAGGGGGAGCAGTTGGGGGGGGGGGGGGTGCTTTTTGAGAGCATTTAGGTGTTCTTATTATTGCTTGCTGTTTTTTTAATATGTTTTCTGATACCCACTTCTTGCTGAATTTCTCAAATTGTGTGAATGTGTTTCTGTTTAAAATCTTACCACCTTGAAAGAAAAATTGAGTACTGGAGAATATAAGATGAGGAAATTATTAATTGTGTTTTCATTCAAATATCAGGCATGTCCTTGAAATAACATGTGTTTTCATTGAGATATCAGGCCTTTCCTGTAAAATAACATATGTTTTCATTGAGATATCAGGCCTTTCCTGTAAAATTACATGTATTTTCATTTAGATATCAGGCCTTTTCTGTAAAATTACTTGTATTTCCGTTAAAATATCAGGTTTGTCCTTTAGAAATTACATGTATTTTCATTCAAATATGAGTTTTCCTGCAAATTCACAGGTAAGGATTTCACGTCAGCAAATTAATGATGATTTTTGCGACTGCCCAGATTCTTCAGATGAGCCTGGTACTTCAGCCTGTCCAAGCAGCAGGTGAGCTTAAACATTTTAAGGATATAAGCATAAAGGTCTCCTTATTAACTCTTTCAATCCCAAGCAGTTGTTACTTTAACTCCTAAAACGTTGATGACTTTGCTTTAAAGCAGTATATACTTAAAACTGAAGGAGTTTTAACAGAAACACTGTTGGACACAAGGGGTTAAATTAATAATTCATATATAAAGGGTTAATATAATATAACATTTGTGATTGTAGACTGCAAGAATATTATTTTTTTTTGAAAACGCCAGGACATATCTGGTGAGTTGTTTGGAACTAAAAGAATTATGTAATTCATTATATTTTGATGGAGCTTTGTAGTGATGCACCTGACAAGGTACAGTGAAATATTTCTGGGAATAAATTGTGCATTATAATGTTTTTGTCCGCATTATTTAAAATAATGATATTAATATTGAAAGACCTATATTTTTTTTTTCAGATTTTACTGCACGAAACAAATTCCAGGTTTTGTCACTCAGTTTATCATGTCCAGCAAAGTAAATGACGGAATCTGTGATTGCTGCGATGGAAGTGATGAATGGTTTGGTGCTGTGGTTCCAGACTTCATGCGAATTGAAGGTAAGAAGTGTCAGCGCATTAATTACTCTTGTGCTGGACTACTACCCCCTCCCCCCCCCTTTTCCTCCCCCCCCCCCCCAAAAAAAAAAAGAAAACTGCTAGTTTACTGCCTGTATTTACCAGTTTTGCAGTGTAGGTGGGGGTTCTTTGACTCTGAGGACAGCTAGGACTGTGGCCACAGATTGTGCAGGCTGGCGTTTTAGTTTTACCCCTGGCAGGAGAAAAATCCATGACTTTACAGAGGATTAAGGCCAGCTGCTCAGGCAGCCAGAGTACTAGTGTAACTAAAAGGCCATTTTTTGCCGTTGGCCTGTCAAACATGTGGTGCTAGAGCAGTTTTTTTTTTTTAATAGGCCAATCAGCAATCTGTGGAGGGGAGTGGGGTCAATATCTCACCAGCTGCTGTTACTTTCCCTGATATTTCCTGGTACCCATTTTAGGCTGGGTCTGCTCATAATGAATAAGGCAAGACTTCCCTATCAAGCCCTCATGTGGACACCGTAAGGGAAAAGAAAACTTGAAAGACCAAGAAAGACTCTGCGTAAAACCATCATCATGGAAGGCTCAACCATGGACTTAAAAAACATCCAAGACCTAAAACAGGTGGCAAGGAACCGCCAGAAATGAAGAGCTGATGACCTGTGCCCTGCGTGCAGCCTTAGACTCAGCAGGAAAGACTAACTAACTACCTAGAAGTTTTTTAAGAAGGTCTTGATATTGCTAGCATCCTGAAAAATCATGCTAGGACTTACTTTCAGGTACACACAGTAGTTGTATGGATCCATTTATATTGCTAGCATCCTGAACAATCATGCTAGGACTTACTTTCAGGTACACACAGTAGTTGTATGGATCCACCCTACTGGGTGCTGAATTGATACATGACAAGGCAGATGTGGTCAAGGCCCTTAGGGAACAAACAACGGAATCAGTAGAGAAAGAAGATGATTATGGCCTGGAGAGAATGAGGCACCTGGGTGTAACCAGAGGGTCTGGCCGGCTCACTACACTCAGAGGAAAGGCACGACGGACTTTTAACCAGATTGTGACCGGTACCATCAGTATTGGAACTCTGGGCTGGATCCTAAAGATGATGACAGAGCACGCATGGGAATGCCCCGAGCGCTAACTGTCTGAATACTTTACCTTGCTCTTTTTAACTTCTTATCCATTTTATTACATTTTTCAGCTGCTCTTTTACATGCCTGATCAAATCTACACAATGTGGAAACACTGTGCCTCAGCTTAGCCCTGATTAGTTCTCTTTCATTATAAGTAATAACAGCATCATTCACAGCTGTTTCTAGCCTATGTCTTGTAACATGGATTAAATAGATGGGGCTATCCCAGTTATTATACAATTTCTTAAAAATTCGTGAAATAATTATTAAAAAGGGTTGATACAAAACTGAGTTATGACAGTTTGAATATTTTGCCTATATAATTGAGTAAATAAACAGTTACCATGCACCCCTGTGTGGGTTCCGGGGCCCTTTTGTGGGGAAAAACTAGAATAGACCCACTACCTCCCCAAAAGCATGTCGTAAGAGTCGACTAACTGGGAAGCTTCCTTTGAAGTCGGAGTGCATCTGCCAGAGAGGCCAGGAACCAGCAGTCTGCATTCAATTGAATCAGATCTGTAAAACTGATGCACACGCAACACTCAGGTTCTGGAGCAGGACTGCAGTCTAGAAGTGGACGAACAACCAGAACTTTACGCCAGAGTGTACAGCTGGTGAACGCGAAGAAGAAGAAGAAGTTACAGTGCATTGTAAAAAATTTATTACAATTACTTTCAGGTTGAATTTTGCAGCAAGACATGCATTATTCTGTGCAGAAATGAATATAGTTTCATGTAGTGTAAAAAAAAAAAGTAAAATTCAAAGATTTTGAAGGGGAAAAAAAGTCAGTTTGGATGGTTGAACCTTTCGCTAGTCTTTCTTACCAGTGGTCACAATATTGTCTAGTTTCTTTCTTCTGATAATGCAACCAAAACAAAATTTAAACTGCCTGTTTTTAAACATTTTTATAAAATTATAAAACTAAATCCCTGTCACAAGAGACTCGGTATAACAGTGTTTCACATTCTTCTAGAGGGCATGCCTCTCGGAGCTGTGTATCATGCACCATGTGTGGATAGATGTGATGACATTTTAGCTGTCCACAACCAAGAAGAACTCGTTCGAGCACAAGGGAGAGAAAAACAGAAAGAATATTTGAAAATGGCCGCACTTGAGCTTTCAGAGAATGAACGAGAGGTATTTATAATGGACACTTTTTTGGTTCTGTGGGATGTACTTTTTGTTTATTTGATTGAGAGCAGTTATGTAATAATACACATATGTTCTATGTAGCACTTTTTGCACCTGTTTTGAACTATCTTGACTGAATCGAGGCAGCCAGTAGAGCAAGAAACAGAATGTCATATCTCCCTTAACACCCGATGCAGTCTTCTTCTTCTTCAGCATTCCGAGCCCTTGAGGTTCATTGCTGCAGATATCACCTGCCTCCATTCATCTCTCTGGTTGGCCTTCTCTTTTCAGTTGGTAACACCGAGTGTTTGCAGGTCTCTCTGGATATTATCACTCCACCGTCTTCTTAGTCTGCTTCGTTATCTGCAACCATTCATCTCCCTGGTGTATACAGTTTTTACTTTTTTATCAACTGACATTCTTTCAATATGCCCCAACCATTTCAGTCTATTAGCTCTCAAGATGCCAGTGATCAGTCTTGATTTAAACAGATTATGAATTTTGATGCAGTGCAAGAGGAAAATTAAAAAAAGAACTTAGGTGTCCTCTAGCCACTCTGCTATCGTATCTTTCCTTTTGTGTATGCTGTTGGCTTTGTTGAGACTGCAGTCTGTTTCATGCCATCAGTGCCAAACGTGGACACTTACTTCCTCCAATGAACGTAAAATTGTGACAACAGAGATGAAATGCCTCAGAAGAGCTTCAGGAGTTTCAAGGTAAAACATAATACAAAATCAGACGAATGCTAGGAATAAAGCCAGTCTTACAGGTAATCAAAGAACAACAAATGAAGTGGTTTGGACACCTAACAAGAATGCCCTGGTACTATCTGCCACACTAAAATGTTAACAGAGGGTATAGAAACGAGGGGAAGACCTAGAAAATATGGATTAATGGTATTAAGAACAGCCTTACAGAAATGAACATCAATCTTAATAGTGCTCTTGACAGAGCTCATTAACCAATGTTTACTCCCCCCCCCCCCCCCCCCCCCCCCCCCCCCCCCCCCCCCACCCCCCATCACTTCGATGAGGTACAAGATGGAAGAGAAGAAGAAGAAGCAGTCTGTTTCAGCTTTATCATCACAAGAAACAGTGATGGGAATTCTGCGTGGTTTTTGCTGGCACAGAAGTGGTCCCTTTATAGGGTGGCTCATTTGGCGTGAATTTGGAAAATGACTGACTTAACTAGCTTGTGTGATGTATGCTTTTTCCTTCACACAGATTTGTAGATCCACTGACTTAACTAGCTTGTGTGATGTATGCTTTTTCCTTCACACAGATTTGTAGATCCACTGACTTAACTAGCTTGTGTGATGTATGCTTTTACTTTCACACAGATTTGTAGATCCACTGACTTAACTAGCTTGTGTGATGTATGCTTTTTCTTTCACACAGATTTGTAGATCCACTGACTTAACTAGCTTGTGTGATGTATGCTTTTTCCTTCACACAGATTTGTAGATCCACTGACTTAACTAGCTTGTGTGATGTATGCTTTTTCTTTCACACAGATTTGTAGATCCACTGACTTAACTAGCTTGTGTGATGTATGCTTTTTCCTTCACACAGATTTGTAGATCCTTAAGCTAGAGTAGGAAAGCTCTTGAAAATATTGCTTAGTTAGGTCTTTGTGACTTTATACGCCAGCATAGATTTTACATGTTAAATTAAACAGTTGATGCAGAATTTTCATAAACAAGAAGTTTTAGTGTTAAAAAAAAAACCTGTTTCTTGCATATCATTTACAGGATGTTGTAGAACCAACCCTAGCTGTTGTTGTTGCCAGTTTTGGTGTTGCTATGACATTTTATGTTTACTAGTTTGCAGTGATTTTCTGGACAGTCAGCTTGCCATATCCCTGTTGAAATCAACAATAGAAGGTTGTAATGCACTACTTGGTTTGCTCAGAGCCTGCTTAACTTCTCAGTATATTAGGAAAAACAAGAACTCCAAGGTGGACAAAAATGTTGTCAACTTAAAACAGAGGACCGAGACTGTTTATTGGTGATGAAGCGTCTCTTCTCAGTCGGAGTCATTCGAGATAAACATGTCTAGGAGATTGGTAACATCGCAGGATGATTTATCAGACATCTACTCAGTCTTGTAGTCAGAAAATACCTTCACAATTGACTTCTTCAGTCACTCGTCAACTCAGGCAGCTAAAAAAAATTACTGCTGATCAGACAGTTACGGATCTGCTCTCAACGCGCATTAATCGATCTTCTCAGCACCTTGGGACATTACTTCAAACAAAACTTTCTTTCTCACTTGCTGTGTATATTAAACCCTATTCTCAGTCAATCAGTCAGGTGCTGACTTCACAGTGAAGGTTGGCTGCAGTGGATCTCCAACATGCTCTTGTCTTTTGTCCTGGTTGTACACTCTCTCAGACTGCTGCCCATCCATCTCTTGATGTTGTCCTCCCACTTATATCATTGCCCACCTCTTGCTCTTTTGCCTTCGACCTTTCCCTCCAGTATGATTTGGAAAAGTATGTTATGTCTTTTAATGGGGCTAAAGTATTTCAACTATCTCTTTTTTATTTCTTTCACTAATTCTGTTTTCATCTGTAGCCTTCCAGAACCTCTGTATTGGACGGTTTTTATTTTCATGAAATATGACCTATTCTTGTATATAAACACATCTCTAGAGTCTCTATTCTATCCCCCCCCCCCCCCTCCATAGATTCTTGCGACTTTATTCATACATTTGATGTTACACATTACAGTGTTCAGCACACGCATTCCTTAAGCTAGTTATGCATATTGTGACTCTCGCCCACTTGATCTGCCGCACATAATTTATGATCACTAATTTATGCTAAGTAATCTGTCTTCATTTTCTCTTGCAAAATGAGAAAATGTACCCTTATAGCGGTCTGCTGCCAAAAAGCTCACAGCTGGATATGTACCAGGTACCTCACAATTATGAAGCATGTCCGCAGCACCTAAGCCACAGAAGCTTATAACATAACCATGTGAATAAAAAAAACACCTCCTTATTGTTCTTCCAGAAATACGGTCCGAATGGGGTCTTTTACCCCTTGAGTAAAAAGTGCTACAAGCTGAACGTTGACCAGTACACCTACATCATTTGCCCATTTGAGAAAGTCAGTCAAGAGTCGGTTCCACAAACTCCAGTTATTCTTGGACGTAAAACAAGCGTCATTTCTGAACATGGGCAACATATGCTCATCATGGCGGGTGGGGATAACACTTTGTGTCCTTTTGGACGTGATCGAAGATCTAAGGTAGCTGAGTGTGTGGCGTCACTTTCTTGTGTGTTCTTTCTTTGGATGTCATATCTGCTTTACAGTGCAAAGTGTCTCACTTTAATAAATGATTAAGTTTTTTTTTAAAGGTTATTTGAACAACAGATCAACATCATGGCACACGGGTAGTAACCTATAAGTGCTCCGTTCTTCTTCTAACTCAAATCTGAGTCCAAAGAAGCTCAGCACAGGCTCTGTAGCACTGGTGAGGAAGTCCAAGTCCAAGTGAAAAAATCCCAGCCCTTACCGGGAATATAACCCGGAACCTCTAGCACTCGAGGCAGACACCATGCATCGAGATAACGCAGCCCCCTAATGGATGATAATGTTAGCTTTATTAGGGAATGCTTGGTTATTTGTTATGCTATGATGTAGTGAAGTCGTAGGCTGTCTTTGACTCCTTTAATCATTCTCCTAGGTCTCCCTCTGCCTCTTTTTTATTTCTATTTTCCTGCTGTATGCTCTCAGACTTTGGTATTCTATCTTTGTGTAGCTTATTCTGATTTCTCTGCTTATACCTATGACTTCTGTGTTTTTGTTTTTTCATTTGTATTTTTTTTACAGTATTGATTCTCATGTGATATTAAAGACAGACAAGTATATAGTAGGGTGTAATCTTGTAACTGTTTGCTTTTACTTTGTAAGATGTATTAAACAGCAGCTCATTTAAGTCTTCTTCTTCTTCTTCATCTGGTGGTGTTGTGTTGCTACTTTACATGCTCGTGTGCGTTAGCGAATAAATCCCTCTAGGGTTTTGAATAGAGTTGTTGACTGTGAAAAACCTATAACCATTGGAAACATTACCAGCAGGTACCTGATCGCAGTCAGTCTATATGCAATTAAAGAACCCTTTTCCCCACTGTCATACATATTGGGCATGAGAGCTAGACCTGTATTTAGTAGAACAATCTGTACACGATGGGTGATGTGGTCAACATTATCCCAGCCACCTTTACTTCCCATGATTTTACCTGGCACCCCTTAAGGCTGTGTCGACCTAGGCTCCATTCAGATTTGATCCCACCACCTGTGGATCCGCAGGCAAGTTTCTAGCTGCACAACACCACACTGGCTCCCCGAGTCTATATATGCTGAGCTTAATTATGTCCAGGTCCAATTCTAATATGCTTCCCTGCAGATGTGAAGATCAAGTACCAGAAATGCACACTACATGGGTTTCTGAGGTCAGAGAGTGGAGTTATAACTGTTTAATTCACTTCAGTGGAGATGACACTTTAGTACCAGATAAAGGATGTAAAACTCCATACCAGCCCCACTCAGAGGCAAATTGTTTTCACACAGTCTGCATGTTGGCACATTGGACCAATAAAAGATGGATTTAAAGACCCAGAAAAAACTGACTTCATCAGAATCACATAGCTTGTTTGTTTGTAACTGGGTAGTTCATCTTCTGCATTATGTTATTTATTTTCAATTACATTAATTTAACAACTGTTTATTTGTGTGTTTCTTTATTTGTTAATCTCCATACATTTTTTTAAACAGTTACTTTATATTTAAATAATGGGGACACAAACAGTACATTGCACAGTTGATTGCCTGGTGTATTTCACTGTATCTCATCTGGTGCATTGCTACAGAGTTAAATCAACACATAATAAAGCACAAACTAAATCCTTTTCTTGCTGAAATGCATAAACCACATTGTCAGTTGTGTACATCTGACGAGATACAGCGAATTATGCAACATTTAATTCTGTTGTCCCCTCTTGCTTCACATTATTTATTGTACACCTCTATTACATTATTGACAGAGAGACATTGTTTTTGTAAATCTCATTTTTTTTTTTTTTTTTACTTTGTAGATTCACATCATGTGTGGATTGAATGACAGACTGATGAAGGTTTCAGAATCTGAGCTGTGTGAGTATACATTTACCATGAGCTCTCCTGCTGCGTGCTGATTAGTTGCCAACCCTGGTATATTCTTTCAAAAGTCTTTGATTGGTGGAGGATCCTGTACTATGATATGGGTGGAAAAAAACCGCTTAATTATCTGGTTGTGGGAAGAAATTTATGTTGTTTCCATCGTAAATTTTTATTTTGATGCAGTGATGTGTTTTAGTGCACAACAGAGAGCCCTGTCACTTGGACACAACAGAAATAGAGGTCTCCGATGCAAGTGAGGGATAGATGGAATATCCAAGGCCATGAACACCAGCATCTATGTAACAGACGCAAAGACTCGCGCCGGATGCTTCTTTAAAACCTGATGCTGAAAGGCCGAACATAGCTGGAGAAAATTAGAGAAGGGGGATTCAGATGATGACTTTAGAAGTGGTCTAGAAAAATGCCATTTTCATGTAACCAACTGTTGTTGTTAAAGATGGCAAGAGTGTTATGTATGTGAGATCATGGTGCAGATGAACATGATAATGAGGAAATGACAGTTTAAAGATTTCCACCCCTCTTTTGACAGGCACCAAAGACTAGCAGCATTCTGTTATCGATATTTTATCACTGGCAGGGTAAAACCTATAAAAATTCATCAACAATGTGAGGTCTAATATGGTGATGCATGCCTGTCAGTCCAGCAAGTGTATGAGTGGAGTAGGAAGTGATATCATGTGCTTGACTCTTGACATCCTTACCAACAGTATTGACAGGTTACAAAAAAGACTATGGCCCGGTTATTGTAATTTGTATGATACTTTTAGGGTTTTCATTTGCAGCACCCTCATAGTTGTTGTTTGTATTCACCAGCTGTAAACCAATGCGAAAAGACCTGGTTGTTTGTCCATTACTGGACTTTGGCTTTGTTCCAGGACCTGAGTTTTATGTGCGCATCTGTTTGACAGATCTGGCTTATTTGTATGCAGACAGTTGGTTCCTTGCCTCTCAAGCAGATGCACTCTGACTTTGAAGGAAGCCCCCAGTTGGTTGACTCTTACGACATGCTTGTTGGGAAGGCAGTGGTTCTATTCTTGTTTTCCCCACAGTGGGACCCCGGAACCCGCACTGGGAGCTCTCATAGTAAAAGATTGGTTTAGTTTGCAAAGGATCACTTTCATTGCACACATACATATCTAAATGTTGCGTCTGGAGGTCTGGGGTACATATCCTCATAGAGGCATTTTTTTTTTAAAATGACTTTGGCTTCTAGGTGACCCAGCCTTAAATGGATACCAGATAGTGTCCTGGGAAGTAAAGGTGGTTGGCATGATGTTGACTACATCTCCCATCAAATGCTGGATTGACCTACAGTGTCCCATACCATGATAAAAATCCATGCAGCCAGCAGTGGGTTTCAATTGTGGTATGTGGAATTATGAGTCGGACTTGCAATGCCTAATCAACGGACACTGCTTTACAGTTACTTCTACATGCATGTATTTTTGTAGTCACCTAAAGGAAACAGTGCCTTAAATTGCCAGTTTGTCTTTGTGTAAGACATAACTGGTGCTAACATTTATCATACATAAATTATATATACCTATGATTTCATGAATTTTTGAACAAAAATAATCATTAAATTATTTTGATTTGTAGTTGATTTCAGAAATATAATACTCATTTCAAATTTGCTTCTAATCAACTTACTGCCTCTTGTATCACTTAATACCCATGATTTTTTTTTTTATTAGTCTTAGTCAAGGTTTCAACTTCACTGCAATCAGGTTTCCCCATACTTGCTCCATTCCTATGCCAATGAAAATCAGATAAAATTTCTCTCACTGTCGCATTTGAAAAACTGGTGAACAATTAGTCCCCGAACAGTCCAGAAAAATGTGTACCAGGTAAATGCATATGGCAGTTGCTAGAGGTGCCAAAGCCAACAGTCGCCACCAGAAGTGCAGATTGTCATTGATGGAAACTTAAAACCCCTGTTTTTTTTTATTGATCCATTTGAACAACTTATTTTGCTTTCTGAGGTAATTTTAGTGCTCCTTTATCTTATTTAATTGCATCATTTTTAGATTTTGAGCATTTAGAAAATTGTTTATTAGAAATGCCTGAATGTTTCTTTGAGAGTTTTGACAGCTAAATAATTCCATGACATTTCTGTCGATTTGAGGACATAAATAATACATTTGCATAATTTATTGTCTGTGGCAGCTCTGTGTTGACAGGTAGAAGTGCATGGGGGTTCATAGCAAAAGTAGATGGACATCGCTAAGTGCAACAAAACCTGGCATATGATATCATAACTTATAATTTGAGAATGGAGGTGGAGGCAGTCCTTCCTGCCTTCCACTAGATTGAGAATCAGCTGTACACACATGCTGTTATTGTAACTAACTCACAGCGCACACAGAGCATGTTGAGAAAGGAGGAGACAGGCATTCTCTGTGCAGAGTAGCAAGTATTGCTTCAGTGGACCATGTAGTTAGCATACTTTGGATATTTTCTTCAGGAAATGAAGGTGTGTTGGGAGGTGAGCAGGCAGATAGACTGGCTGGTTCTGCACCATTTGGTGATGAATTGGTGTATGACAAGCTAGACGTGGTGAGGGGCCTTTGGAAGCTAGCGGACAGTGCAGAGGCATAAATAGATCGTTATGGTCAGGAGAATGCGCAACTGTTAGTTACCAGGGGATTTAGCCAACGCTCAACAGTAAGGCGAGACGGATGTACAGTCAGACAGTTACTGGTACCATCAGAATATCAGCCCTTCACAAGCTGCTGAAGATGGGGACAGAGCACTTTTGGGAGTGTTCCGAGGACTATGATGTCAATTCATAATTCAACATTCAGTATTGTCTATGAAAGTCAGTATAGAACCCCTGGCCCATTACACATACAGCTGAATGGTTCTGGCCTGAAACAAGTTAGGAAATGTACATGTCTAGGAAGTGTGATCACGGAAGATGGTAGAATTGACAAAGAAATAGAAACCAGGTGTCAGAAAGCAAGTGCACTTGTATACCAGTTGCCTCGATTATTAAGACATCCAAACATATGTGCAAAGAGACATTCCAACATTAAGCTTACAGTGCCAAACATGGACATTATCTAAAGTCTAAGTACGCACAATCACAACTTGCGAGATGAGATGCCTGAGAAAAGCTGCCAACCTAACCATCCAAAATCGAGTGAATAATGATACCATCAGACAGATTGTGGAAACGACATCTTGTACTAGATTCTTAGAGACATAGCAGATCAAGTGTTTGGCCATCTCATCAGAATGCAGCAAGATCAAATATCATCACAAGCACCACATCTCAGAAGATAAGCTACAAGAGCAAGAGGATGGCCATGAAAAAATGTGGATTGAAAAAGTTAAACACTCTGCGCCTTCACAGTATGATATAGCCAGTGCCAGCCAGTGTGCACTGAACCACAAATTATTCCTCCCCACGACTCTTAATAGCAGAAGTGTTTTATGGTGATGATGTTTGCCATTTTTTACTGTATTGTGTCAGGCGTATTACTACAGACTTAATATCAGTATATAATGAAGCACAAAACATGTTCTTTCAAGTGAAATATACTGATCTTATTGACTTTTAGCAGACTGTACTGTGCTGTAATGTGGTAACAGGTCTGAGGAGGTACAAGTCTCGTTGTCCTTTTTTTTTTTTTTTAGCATTGATCGGCTGTAAACCTCTGCCAAAAGTTTTAGTTGTTTATCAGTTTCTGGACTTCAGTCTTGTTCCAGAATTTGAATTGTGCGGGCACATCTAGTTTACAGATCTGACTTACTTGTATGCAGACTGTTGGTTCCTCACCTCTCAGGCAGATGCACTCCAACTTCAGAGAAGAAATGCCTAATTCGTCACCATCTAGGACATGCTTGTTAGAGAGGCAGTGGGTCTATTCTTTTTTGGAGAATACAGTGAAACATTGCAGGCAATATATCTGTGTGGTAGATATGTATGTGTGTTATCTGCATGTTAGTTCATCATGGGACAACATTGTTGAAACATTGTGTTGAATTTCTCTTACTTGAATGAAAGTTTCTTTGAGAGTCCTATAACAGTCAAACATTTCATTTACTCACTTTAATCATTCCATGGAATTTGTGTTAATTTAATACATGTTTAATATAAACCTTTAATGTAATTTGATTGCTAGGCTAGACTCAGGGAACATGTCCACGCTTAGGCTTGCATCTTATGAATTGACAGATCGGTATATTTGATTTTTATTAATCATTTGTTTAAGGTTCGCTTCTTCTAAACAAATTCCGACTGAAGTAGCAGTCATTGTCTATCTATGGGGTTGCATACACAGTAGTTTTGCCAGAACAGTGAATTTAACCCTTTATCCTTGTATGACATGCTTGTTAGGTGGGCAGTGAGACTGATTTTTTTCCTCCCAAAATGGGGCCAGGAACCCAGACGGGGAGATTCTCATTAGATACCAATGTTTGTTTAAAACATCACCAACTTTGGCTTGATAATTAAACCTGGTTACTTGAACAAGAAGCAGACAAAATAAACTGTCATTAACAAACACACCACCCACAAAAGCAAATGTTAATCCCATGAAATTATATAATCCATATTTTTGTCTGTAAGTAATAAAACCAGCTTTGTTAGTTTTTTATGATATAATGTATATATATATATATATATATATATATATATATATATATATATATATATATATATATATATATATATATATATATATATATATATATATATATATATATATATATATATATTCAGCCAATTGGCAATCAGTGACGGAGGAGGTTGAATATACACAGAATGTCCCAATGATTTAAAAATTGAACAAGCTATACCAGCAGGTTATATTCCTTCAGTTACAGAGCAGAGGCAGATGCACTTCTGTTGACAGGTTCTTTCCTGAATAGACAACAGCACAGCAACTATAGAAGAATTGTCTTTCTGGCTAATGCTATATCAGTTCTTTGAGCCCACATTTTTTTCTCCTAAATAAACGACCACGGCTCCCAGGTAGGCTCAGTCTAAACTGGGTACCAGGTAAGGTCC